TTATGAACAATAAAAAAAACTGCAAACACTCAACTATTACTTCAATACAAAGGCAATATGGTAGATATTTCTATGCACGTTGCTATATAAATTAGGAGTAACACTGCTACGCGTCCACTCGCTAACACTCTCGCAATGGATGTAGATGTTTCTCTGCAAATTTGGATTTAATTAAAACCAGCGCTGATGGCAACATCAGCACATGCTGAGTTGGGACCGATTTGAGACAAAAAAAAAATATGTGTGTTTTGTTCTGTTTGTTGTGTGTGTGTTGTCTCAAATAAATTTATTTTTCTTCTTTTTTCTTTCTTTCTTTCTAAAAAGTTAAGCAAAATTTACAAAAAGCGAGGCCGCTACGAACTAGGCCAATAGTTATTCTGCACTATTCAATAGATCGAAATTGTTAATGTATATTTGTTTCTGAGATTAAGAACGCCAATTTACGCAAAAATCACAGTCGAGATGTAATATGCCTCTTAACCTTTATTCACAGTGGTCCAACCGCGTTGTTCACCCGAGTGCGCCATGGGTAAAAATAATTTCTCGTTCTTAGGCGCCTAGTTTTAGTATATAGTCAATATAGGTAAACATCATAAAACAATGTTGTTAAAAGCGTAGGCCGAACTGAAACGGCAGAACGGCTACAAAATTCCTCTATCATCTCATCATCAGCCTATTAAGTCCCTACTGCTGTGGCACAGGTCATCAATACGGATGGAATCAAAACCGGATTTAAGACAGGGCAGGTGTGCCAGTACGGATTTGTGGGTGCTAACGACTGCCGATGCAGCTGTAACGGCTTAACGTGCCTTACGAAGAACGGAAGAACTCGAGGTGGTAAATTTTTGGTCACCCATTCAATGACCAACCACTGAGGAAGGTGCTTAACTTCAACAATCGCAGCATAACGCGCTAACCACTTGCGCCAACTAGCTCTCAAATAAGTATACCCAGCTACTAAGGCATTTGGACCTATCAATTTTTTATCTCTATTTTGAGGTCCCCTCTTTTGTTAGGGCTCCTGGGCCACAGCCCTGCCTGCATTAAATCCGTTCCTGGTCACGTGCTTTACAGCTACAATGCACGAGTAGTTAACCGCGCGATTACGCGGATTCCAGTGCTTTGCCGTACCTGTCTATACCGATAGATGTGCCGAGTCAGGCTGACTCGAATACGTAGCAGGTACTCACGTACTCGAGTACTCGAAATATTGTATTTGGATCCACAGTACTCGAGTCTGTACTCGTTAACATAGGTAATCACTAGTGTCCGACCGAAGGTTCGGTTTCGGTTTCGGCCGAGTTTCGGCCAAAAATCAAGTTTCGGCGGCAGTTTCGGCCGAAACTTTTGCCTAAACCGAAACTGATTACGGAAGTTGTCGTGCAGGCTCGCCTAACTTCGTTTCTCGCGGCAACGCATTGGCGGACGCTGGCGGCCCTGATCGGGAATTCTCGTGCGTCGTTCGGATAGCTCCGTAGCACACACAACTTAGTGCGTTATCGCCCGATGCAAACATTCTTTAGAGGTTATGTTATGATGGAACTTTTAAGAGATTTATGATTCTTCTAAGTACAAATACAAACCAAAGTATTAATAAGATTTCAAAATACCAATACTTAGTATTTAATGAAACAGTAAAAATTAGTGATTTGATTATTGATAAAGCTGATAAAAGGGAGATTGCTCAAATTGGCCCAAATGCACAAAAAATATTGACATACACGGTAATTCTTGGCGTAATTTGTAATTTAATTTACAGTCATTAGATTTCAACGGACACCTTTGTATAATATATTCACTTTAAAAAGGACTTTTCATTTTACCGGTTTGGAAAACATATGAATCATTTTTAATGGCTATGGGTGTAGTAACATTCAGCCAAAGACTGATCGAAGTTGTTTATATAACATAAAAACAACTATTTTGTAAAGATCGATAAAATAAATATTTTTTTATTACACTGTGGTATTAATATCCACAACTATATTATCATTTTCACTACATGAAAATGTGCTCCGACAATTATTATAGATGGTAGGCGACATCATAAAGTCTATTGCCATACATTTTTCGCCAAACACCTCCATAAACACATTATAATCTGTTTAGACTTTAAGGTATCTATGAGCCTGCGTTGCCTGACTATAAATAAATAAAATTATAAGGTGTGATACACTAAAAATCACACACACAATCACAAAAAAATGAAGCTACTGAATATATGGCTATATAACCTAAACCTCTTAGCTTTCTTTGGTTAACGAGAGTTGAAAAATTCTCTCTAATCTGTGGCTCATTCACAATCATCACACAGTTTCTGTCACAGAGTACCTTATTATAACCGGAAATGCATATAAGACACCTGATTTTAAAAGTTACTCTTATGCATTAACTTTAAAAACAGGCAACTATCAGTTAATCTACATGCTCTATATACCTGAATCTAATCCATAATTTCGGTACTTGGCTTGATTTACCTAGTTTACTACCTATATAACTTATTAGTTTTTTATTATTTTAATATGTTCAGTGTATATGGTTTATAGAAGTTCTCAGGGGTGTCCGTCAATAATATTACTTTTTACAGTAATTTATATATAATTTCGAATCTAGGAAACAATTTTTCATGATTATTGGTCTTTAGGCCAAACATGTATGAAAGCTGAGCAATCTCCTTTTGCTATGAGAACTTTATTTGTATTTTTTTTTAATATTTTTTTATATTATATGAAATAACTGATAAGAACAAAATTAAAATACTGTGTTTCCATTTCATGCCCTAATTAATGCAGAATAATTAGGCATGTTGAAAATATATCGATGTATCGATATATCGATATTTTTTGTTCGATATATCGATATTTTTTGCCGATATATTTTGATTCGATGTATCGATACATCGATACAAAATAACCTATATCGAAATTCGTATCAAAAACGATATTTTTTTATTTATTAGCGGCTTACGATCTAACTAGTATCTGGATAAATTGTGACAGGATCTCTGGATCTGGATCTGGACTGAATGCTGTATTTAGTATTGTCTATTATTTGTAAATCTGTTTCGCTGGTGAATTGGTTGTGCTGATTTCCATTATATTCTGTGGAAGTGTGCGACTGTCTAGTCTTGTTTACGAAAGATGGCAGCTGAGAGGCCCTACAATCATTTTCATCATTCGGAAATAGGGTCTATTTTTAGGGAGATAATTTTCGTTCCATTATTACTCCGCGTGTCATATTTCGTGAGATACTGTACAGTCATGTAGTGTAGCGGCAATTTGGTACTGTAATAATTCTTTCTTTAATTATAATTTGTATTGAACTATTATTACTGTGCTAGGCTGACCTAAATATATTTTTGGGAAAATTGGTCCGATATATCGATATTTTTTCCGCGATATATCGAAGCCGATATTGATATTTTTTTTAAATATCGATGTACCGATATATCGATATTTTTTTCAGCTTTTGACATCCCTAAGAATAATCGGTAAAATGGACCAAATTTCAGTATTTTAAGGAATTTTATACTTGACCACGTGAGTTTCGGTTTCGGCCGAAACTGAAGCCACGGCCGAATGTTCGGTTTCGGTTTCGGCCGGAAAACCAGTTTCGGTCGGACACTAGTAATTACTTATAAGAAACATATACTAATTAACATAGGTAATTACTTATAAGAAACAAATATGTAATTAAACTTCTTTTAACATCTCATTTAACTGATCGGCCGATTAGGAAACATAAATACGTTCAAACTTGCACCGACTTATAAACACATCACGTTACTAACTTCACTGTAACAGTACGACTGAGTATTCGAATACCGTTAGTACTCGAATATCTGTCCGAGTCTTCCGACTCGAGTCCTAATTCGAATCTTTTTTTTAACGAGTTCTAAAATACCCGAATACCAAAAATAACCGACTCGGCACATCACTAGTCTATACGCCTATACAAATTAGGATCCGCGCGATCGCCATCCGCCGCGGTTAGCGACTCGTGACTTATGCTACTAATTGGGGTAAATTACTAATTTCACGATATCATGATTTATTGTGTAAAACCACAGAATATATACACTACGCGAAAAGAAGCGACACTTAAGCATGTGTGCTCGTAAAATCGCCCGCGGCTATGTGTGGGTGTCTGGAGGTGCGCGGGGGCGTTGCGCGGCGCGCGGGGCGTGGAGAGGGCAGTCGCCGACTGCCTCGACCGAAGGGATGGCAGTAGCGAAATAGTAAAATAATAGCGTTGCACTGCATTGCACGCACTGACTGACTACGCTATTTAGATAATAATTATTATTTAGATAATAATAAGAATTATAAAACTAATCGAAAAAGGAGAAAATATATAAAAGTTAGCAATTTGTTATAGTACCTACATTAAATGATTAAAAATTGATTATAAAATCAAACCTATCCTTCATTATTTACCCCAGTATTCTTGAATCAGTTTACATTTAATAACCTACTATGCATAAATATTCATTAGCACAAGTCTAAATTCCAAGTTCAACCCTAGCGCATACACGCTCCTGCTCAAGGTCACTGACGCTGGAACTCTCACGTACAGACAGTGTCACCGCTGTGGTAAAACGCCGTATAGCAGTATCACCTGTATAACTTATGATACTGCGATCCAAGTATTATGATAATAATGATCAGTGTAAGATACCCCATTGGGACCAACCACAGAACACAGAAAGTTCACAGACCTTATGCCAGCCATAACAGTTTATCGTACATGGCGTACGTATAGAAAACTGTGCAGTTTTATAACATACACGCTACGATTTATCAGTACCGTTCGGACGGTACAGTCTAATCGTAACGATTTCTCATAGTGTGTATGGCTGGCATAAGGTTCAGCACTCTCAATCTAGGAGCTCATTGAACACCGTACAGCATATACTTTGTTAGAAGGTAGACACCATTGAGGAAAGCAATACCTACATCCATCTATCTAAAATAAGCAGTAATATAAAAAAAAACTAAGTATGACATTTTATTAATATTTTATTTTTTAATTCATAATTATGTAAACAAATTGTTTCCTTATAAAATTATTGTACACTAAGTTAACATCAATAAATCAAATCGCTTAATACTAAACACCGAATGATAAATACAAACCAAAGCATTTTCCCACTGTCTAATGAATATCGACCTTAAGTCACTTCCTTATTGATTCTGCATGTAGGTACAAAGAGCTCGACAAGTTTTTAAAACAAATCTTAAATTTTAACCAATTTGTAGTAAATCGTAGTAATTTACTTTATAATAATATTTAGCCCATTTTGTATGGTTCATTCTTAACATTTTAAGAGCAAAATTTTAAGTGAAACTACTTATATTTAATCTGACCATTCAAATATGATTTTATTTTGGTAACGCTATCTAATAATTCCCATCACTGAACAACCGTCTATGGTCGGCATTTTAACAACATTCGATGGCTGTATGGGCACAGTACCCTTTGCCTTTTCAGTTTATTCTAATTAGATAAAATAAAGAAGTATATGAAATAAACAACTCTCTAGAAAGAGATGATACAACCAATACATAGACGAACTATGAACTACGATACATGACATTGTTTTAAGAAATTTGATATCCTACCGTGATGTCACTCTGACGTGTTCAATCAAAACGCGGCTACCCCGCACGTACGCCGGAAACCTTGGCGATTTCGAATACAAACAAAATTTAGTAAAGCTTCAGACACACGAGCGGCTCGCTGCCGTCGTCAGCAACTGCAACCGCCATCTTCGGCGCCAGCCGTCGACGTAACGACGACGAGGCTACGAAGTGGCGACGACATGGCGATCACGTGGCGACGACCGCCACGGGTCGACGGCCACACAGTTGCATTGGCGTCGGCTGCGAGCCGGTTGTGAATAGGAAGCCTACTGCGGACTCTAGTGTAGGCGCTGTGCCTCTTCCTCACTTATCTGCCCAATTTTACTTGACAGGTGGTTAGGGAACGCGCAGTTCATTACTCTGTCTATGGGCTTACCAATCTCTGTTTGCTTTTGCTCTAAAAACGTTTGAAATTTACTTAATGTATACGAGTCACGAATGAAATTTAGAAACACCAAACAAACACAGGACACAGTCAGAATTTTTACATTCAATATTTGGTAATCAAAAATATTTTATGAGCATAATAATCAGTTTCACAATCTTTGTATTTTCTTGTAATCGAGTATAAGCACATAAAGAAACTAAATGTATAATTTAAACTTATGGTATTCAATATAAAATATACTATTAATTTTCTTTTTTTTTTGTTTCACTTAAAATAGCCGAAATCTTGAATTTCAAAAATCAATGACATTTTAGAAATGTATCCAATAATTCAAATTGAAAGTAATAATTTATATCGTGGTCGAACCCAAAAAGATAAGCTAAATTCACTTCTCAAAAGTATAGAGTATGCCTATCAGGATATATTTACTTTACCTCTGACGATTAGAACTCTTAAGTCAACTTAAAAGAGACCATACATATACATCACATCTTTAACAATTTGTTAATGTCCTAAAGACAAATAATTCCAAAGAATGACTGTCATTTTTAATTAGATATGTTTCAATCATTTTATAAACATATTTTAACACATTAATCATCGCCATCGTCATAAGAGGGTGATGTAGGAGAATAATTAGGAGAGTTTGGAGAGTAATTTGTGGGTCCAGCGGATGTGGGCGAATATGCTGGCGAAGAAGGTGAGTAGTTCGGCGAAGCGGGAGTGAACGTTTGTGACGTCGGCGAATATTTGGTCGAGGAGGGGGAATAACCGGGCGACGACGGGGAGTAGTTGGGTGATGAAGGGGAGTAGTTCGGGGACGATGGCGAATAGTGCGTACTGCTGGGATGTTGCGGCGACGAAGCCGAGTATGCCGGGCTCGTAGGTGAGTACTGGGAACCCGACGGCGAGTACTGTGGACTCGTCGGTGAATAGTTCGGACTTCCGCCAGATAGCGACGGCGACGTGGGCGAGTAATTGAGCGACGTCGGCGAGTATTTCGGCGATGACGGCGAATAACTATGAGAAGTCGGCGAGTAAGCCGGCGAAGTAGGCGAGTAGGAAGGACTCGTCGGAGAGTATCCGGGTGATGTGTAATTCGGCGACGATGGCGAATAACTACGCGATGTCGGGCTGTACACTGGACTGGTCGGCGAGTAGCTAGGCGAAGATGGAGAATAGCCTGGAGACGCGGGAGAATACGCCGGACTCGTTGGCGAGTAGGATGGGCTGGTCGGCGAATAGGATGGGCTTGTCGGCGAGTAGGAAGGACTCGTCGGCGAGTAGCTCGGTGAGGTCGGCGAGTACGCTGGACTGGTGGGCGAGTAACTCGGCGAAGTAGGCGAATAGCTAGGTGACGTCGGGGAATAGGATGGCGATGTGGGGGAGTATCCTGGCGATGTGGGAGAGTAACTCGGCGAAGTGGGAGAATAAATGGGCGATGTGGGAGAATAATTGGGGGAGGTCGGCGAGTAAGATGGGCTGGTTGGGGAGTAGTGGGGTGAAGTGGGTGTGAGGCTTGGTGAAGCGGGGGCGTATACGGGGCTAGTGGGGGAATAGGACGGAGAGGCGCCGGCGGGGGACGCGTAAGGGGACAGCGGGGGGCCTGGGGAGCCTGGGGAACCGGGTTGTGGGGACCAAGCACTATATGCAGGAGATAGCCCGGATGCATCTGAAGCCCCGGACGGCGAGAACGAGGGCCCACCGGGAGTCATACTGCTACCAACTGCAACAATAAACGACAAGGTTAAACTTCTTTCAAATATGTATATAATTGACCTGGAAACCCACATGTCGCTATGGTTTGCTCTGATTTCGGTAGTCTATGAGCACACGATACTTGTTTTTTTGATGTGTAACATCTTTCCTCTCGATTTCCTGCAATTTATGGGAGTGATTTCGTGAAATGTAACAGGAAGTCGCGAAATCGCGCGCTATTTGATTTGATTTTAGAACAATGTTCAAATGGCTTATTCCTTTTGTAGTAGGTTTTTTTTTCTAATATAAGGTGAGGTTTCAGATGTTACACATCATACGCGACTACTGTAAGGCTCGCTCGTTTTTTTTAAACAATAACTTTGAACCAGACTATATAAAAGGTAGCGTCATTAATATGCGCCTAATATACTTACTTCTGTATCTGTCTAATGATAACTTTAATGCCACTGACAGATCCGTATATTCAAACACCCCGCGGGGATTGCCACCGAGGCAAATGGGAATAAGAACACTAAGTGGGAGCAATGATTTCATTTCCATTAGCCTCTGGTGACGGTCCTCGCGAGGGCGACTGGGAATAAATGTTCAGGGTTTTTTTTGCCTCCGATGGTAATCCCCGCGGGGCCAACTGGGAATCAACCGACAAAACCAAGAGAAATGCTTGAAGTTATATATGTTGGCCATGTTTATACAAATTTAACTAGAATAAGGCATCAAAAATACATATTGCAACTGTGTTGAGGAGCTCGATGGCGCAAGTGGATAGCGCGTTCGGCTGCGATCGTTGAAGTTAAGCAACTTTCGCAGTGGTCGGTAATTGTATGGGTGACCAAAAATCTTCTATCTCGAGCTCCTTCGTTCTTCGGAAGGCACGCTTCTGCAGTCGTTAGCACCCACCAATTCGCACTGGGCCTGCGTGGTTGGTCATGGCCCAATCTCCTTATTCCATCCATAGGGAAGGCTTGTGCCCCAGCAGTGGGGACATTAATATGATGATGATATTGCAGAAACTTTACCTTGAGCCGGTGACCACACGCTGCTTCCGTATCCAGGAGTGTTCTGTGTCGACCACGGCGTCATAAGCGGCGTCATAGAAGGCGTTCCTACGCCGAAGTACATTCCGCCACCGACGCCCATTCCTACGCCGAGACCTCCCATTTCCATTCCGTGTTTACATTTTTCAGCATCGAGGAGCAAGTCAAAACAACCTATGAAAAAAGAATAATGCATCAAAATAATTTTCAAGCTAATATCTTTTATTATTTATATAATTATCGCCATCTAAAGCAGAAAGCGACCAGCACGCATTTTTAAATCTAGCAAAAATGAGTTCCGGTCCACAGAACAAAAATTGCCCGCATGTCGCTTTCTCCTTAATGACGCTCAACTCACCTGTTCCCATCCTTGGTAACTGGCCCATAATAATATTTTCCGAAACTCCTCTCATCGGGTCCACTTCAGCATGACTAGCCGCATCCAAAAGTACATCAACAGTTTCTTCGAAGGAGCATCTCATCAAAGCGCCAGTATCCTGCCTGTTGATTCCGTGTCGTGTGATGGCCATAAGATGACCTTTCGCTGTCATTACGTCACAAAGCAAAGCCAAGTGCCGGTAGTTCACGTATAGACCGTAGAACTGCAGTACAGCGTTCATTTCTTTCTCTACTGATTTACGCACGGCCTCGATACCGAGTACTTGGAATATTTCACAAATGTCGTTACTGAACGTTCTGATTGGGTCAACGTCGCGCTCAGACAATACTTTCATTAGCGATGTACCGTCCGTTTCCAATAACCATTCTGCTATAGCTTTGAACTCTCCCTGTTCCGTAATTATGATTCGCTTTTTGGCTTCCGTTTGAGGCAAGTGCATGTACACCTTTGCTATAGCTTCAATACCCTGCAAGGTCATATCAGACAACATATTTGCCTCAATGCACCTAAGGAACATATCGTCTTCCATTTTATCAACAGTCTCCTCGTCATTGTCCTGGAATTTACTTTCCTCATTGTTCATAATTCGAATACGCAATACCAGTTTCTCGGCATTGTCATCATTGAAAATACAATTCAAATCGTCTCCGAAACCAGCATTAATCTTTTCTGCAATTTGCTCCATAGTCAATTTTTTATCTGTCATTCTTTTCCGGTCCAATTCGATACGAAGAAGCCATGGCGAAATCTTTGTCGGGTCAAAGTCGGGCATTTCATAGTAGACATTAACGAATTCTTGATCTTCAGCAATAACTGTATTTTGTGGGTCTGGATCATAATAAATTGCAGTATTTGCAGTAACTTTGCGTAATGTAGTATGTTCCAAACGGCAGAGAACGTTTTTAGCTTTTTCGGCGTCCCTAGCCGCTCCTCCCGTAAGGAAAACTGTAAGAGAAGGAGCCTTGGGCTTCTTCGAAATATTGATGATTTCCTTTAATCGCGGTACACCAAGTGTTACGTTTTTCGAAGACACACCAGCAAAGTGGAAAGTATTCAGTGTCATCTGGGTAGCAGGTTCTCCAAGCGACTGAGCAGCCAATGCGCCTACCATCTCACCAGGGTTCACCTGAGCTTGTTGGAAACGTGTCTCAATTTCTCCAATCAACCATTCAAAAGCTTCACTTGAAAGTCTGTACTCCTCAGAAACGAATTTAGTACATAAAGTGGAGCGTACTAAACATTGGAACAGCAAAGTAGCATTCTCATTAGCTTGTACTGAAAGACGATCTTCTCCTGCCACAATAACACACTTTTTGAGTAAATCTTTGACTCCTTGTATAACTTTAATTGGACTCAAATCTGTTGGCATTCTCATGTTGATGTGGAATATTTTTTGAACATTCCAAATCATTCTCTTGAAATTACATGGCAACACGACCTTTGATTCACCGCTTGGGAAAATTTGACGCAATATTTCACGATCCTTACATAACTGCTCCCATTCACTCTCAAGATCAGCTATAACATAGCCTGATTCGGTCAGCTCTTTAATGATGTCTTCATTGAAGATTCTCTTCAAATATCTTTCATTGGACGGGTCAAATTTGAATTTCTTTTCAAAGGCTTTGTTTGATAATTTCACTGTAGGCAAGTTTTGGAATTCGACCGTCTCTCCCGCAAGACCGTCTTCACCATATCTCAATTGAATAAGTTGTCCAACGGAGTTACGTACGGTACCATCGTAATGCACCATTACAGACTCCATAGCCTTTATCAGCCGACGTTGGATGTATCCAGTTTCGGCTGTCTTTACAGCAGTATCAATCAAACCTTCACGACCTCCCATAGCGTGGAAATAAAATTCGGACGGAGTTAAACCGGCCAAGTACGAGTTCTCTACAAAACCTCTAGATTCAGGACCATAATCGTCTTTAATGAAGTGTGGGAGGGTTCTTTTACGAAAACCAAACGGAATTCGTTTACCTTCTACGTTTTGTTGGCCTACGCAAGCAATAACCTGAGAAATATTAATATTGGATCCTTTGGAACCAGCTACCACCATAGCTTTGAGGTTATTATATTCAGTAAGAGATTTTTTAGCTGAACCACCGGTTTTATCACGAGCGTCGTTAAGAATACGATTCACTTGATTCTCGAATGTCTGACGCAAAGTATTACCAGGGGTAGGTTCTAACTCCATGTTGTGGGCTTTTTGAATCACCTCTATTACATCATCTTTAGCTTTAACTATAGCGCGCTGAATTTCTTGATACGTCTGAGGATCAGCAATGGTGTCACCAATACCAATAGAGTGACCTTCCAGCAGTAGCCAATTGTTTATCACTGTTTGAATGTTACCGTAAAAGCGGCCTGCAGTTTCGTGGCCTAATTCTAACATACAAATATGTAGCAACGAACCGGCAGAAGCACCAAGAGATTTTTTACACAAGATGCCCATAAGTAGTTCTCCATGCTCTACCACTACTTTTGTATCTCCAGGTGAAATCCATTTATAAGGCCCGTCATCTTCTTCATCAGGATGAGTGGAATGAGTTCGTATCATGTTAACGTTTCCAGGAATGATCAAAGTAAATATTTGTTTGCCTGTCCAGAGAGGCTGCGGTTTCAAAATGCATGGTTGAGGAATTTTGCCATCCCATGTTGGCAAAAACATGAGGAGATTCATTACTTGTTCCTTTGTCAGGAACACATCACGTTTTGTCATCTTCCTAACTGCTGTTAAAGTATCCTGTACAATACCCATAACGGGTTTATTAGCTTGTGGTGTAATAATCTGACGAGGAGTTATATGAATATTTTCTACTTCAGCCCTAGTTTCCATGGATTGCGGGACATGCAAGTTCATTTCATCTCCATCAAAATCAGCATTGTATGGAGATGTACAGCTCAAATTCATTCGGAATGTTGACCAAGGCAGTACTTTTACTCTATGACCCATCATACTCATTTTATGTAGAGTAGGTTGACGATTGAATATAACTAAGTCGTCATCACGCAAGTGGCGCTCAACTTTATAGCCATATTGTAGGTGCAAATCTGACGGTTTAGGATGGAACCTCAAATCTATCCTTTCGCCATTATCGCGTACAATGTATTTAGCGCCTGGATATTGAGCATTGCCTCGACGAACAAGCTCTTGCATTCTGTCTATATTAAATGGTGTAACCAATTCAGGAAAAGTTAGATTCTGAGCAATAGACCTGGGCACTCCCACTTGATCAATACGCAAGTTTGGATCAGGTGTGATTACTGTACGAGCAGAAAAGTCGACACGTTTCCCCATGAGATTGCCACGGATTCTGCCTTCTTTTCCTTTTAACCGAGCTTTGATAGCTTTAAGTGGTTTACCTGATTTTTGCATTGCTCTGAAAATAAATTAAAAATATAAATATTTTTTTAAACATATATAATATATTAATGAGTTCTGAAAAATCTATGAATTAACACAGAACAGAAGGACTCTTTTTATCTAAGAAAAATGTTTGGTTCCAATGTGATTTATTTTAACTTGAAACTTAATATAGTTTATTATGAGAACCTCCATGGAACAGTCAGTGGTTAGCCATTAAGTCTGGGATTGTGAAAATAAAGCATCTTTCGCAAAGACTATTTTCATAAGGATAACTGATGGCAATAATTTGTGGATTATTTCGACAGAACGCCACTACATACCAAGATTGATCAGGGAAGCGATTGAAATAAACAAAACACAAGAATTTCAATCGTGAGGATGGGTTTAAATTGTCAAATGTTTGGAATCCAGTGGTCCGTATGTGTAAAAACCACAAAAATCAAAAAAAGGGTTGTTCCGCGATCTGATACTGTGAGTATAGTGTGTCGGGAACAAGTGCGAGTGAATAGTGAAAATATGACCAGTGGTACGGGTATCGAGCGCAGTAAAAGACGACGTCAGAGGGTAGACCAATATGTCTGCCAATAACATCTACCTGCAATTACTTCAGTTACTCCGTGATCATGGCGCTTGCAACAGTGCCGAAATATCGGAGACTCATAAAAAACAAGGTACATGGTAACAATCCCGTTAGTAGCTATAATGTTAGTGACCATGAAAGTTTAAAACAATATACCATGTTAATCGTCAGGTCCCAAAATATAAATTCATGAACCATTAGAAAAATATATTTAAAAGTAGGTAATAATAATTTTAATTGAATAATAATATTCAACCTTCGAATCACGCTCTGCAGTACCTTACGATGAATAAGCTCATAAGTGCGAGCAAATAAAATGATATCTTTAAGTTTACTTTATTTGTATTTTGTGATAGGCAATTACGGAACCCTACAAGGTAATGTTTTATTTGGCAAAACCTAGCTCAGTCAAGGACAGGCTAGAGATATGCTTTTTGGGTGGATGGATATATCCAGCACAGATGAAATGGACTCATGAGAGCCCAAGAATGTTCTGCATAAGGAGCATGTTCCTTCCCAGCCAGCATAAAAACTTTAAGCTTTTTAGAGTCCAAAATAATCCCAAATATCTAGGTATTGCAAAAATAGTGTTGGTGCTAAACCTGAGAAATATCAATTATATTGTTTTGCATAAATTCCAGCTAAGTAATATTAATATTGAAACTATCTAGCTTGCTTACACCCTACACATATTAGCATCTGTTTAATGGAGCTTTACTTGGCTTGTGATGACATACAAAATAACACCCAAACATTCTGAGTTAAGCAAAATAAATTTAAATGTATATAAATCTGCTCACTAAAAGACAAAGTAATAATTTTACAGTATAAATGCAAGTATGAAAAAGTCAATGTTACTTTTTAGGTGTAATTCATGAATACCATTATTGATACATTCTGACCCTATAAGTAATTTGTACTTTATTATATACCTGACAATCAGTAATTATTATCCTATGCATGTCCCCACTGCTCGGACACAAGCTTTAACTATAAATAGAATTGTACAACATAAAAACTCAGTTAATTTCAATGTGTTGTTAATACAAATTGATGTTTTTTTTGTCTGTGATAAACCATTAATGTGTTTCCATTTAACCATTGTGTATTGAAATTAATAAGAATGACCTATTAATGAATTTTTGCAGAATAAAATTGAGCTGATGACAAAATGGGGTGCTAAAACTGCAGATTCAGCTAACCAAAGGCTTAACATGGCTTTAAAATCATGGAGAATCTCAGTATAACAAATTTTTTGGCTTTTGAAACAAGAGCTCTAGATAAGTTTTTGATCACCCATCTTACAAATGGCAAGTGCAAAATCTGCTTAACTTCCACATTCACAGACTAAATGAGCTTTTTCCTAACCCTTTGAATAACTATGAATGGTTTCAGTTATTATTACCTTGGCATTCCTGGCATATCATTATCTACAAAAGTGGCAACATGGAACTGCAACATCCGAATGTTTTCTCCTAGCACATGTGCTGCAGCACCTGATTGCTCATTTCGTGTTAACTCATTATTAGCTTTTATTATATCAGCAAGTTTATGAGTTAAGTCATCTTGATTTTTTGCAGCACCAAACATTACTACAGCTGGCCTCACAGATAATGGTGGGACTGGAAGTACTGTCACTATCATCCAATCTGGTCTTGCAAACTTTGGATCCATTCCTAGAATAAATGACTCTTCATCTGCAAGAAACATGAATTTATGATTTAGTTATATAGCTTTATAACTATATGTACAATTATAAAAAATATATGAAATATAAACCCTCATACTATGCAGAAAAGAATTTAATTTTATTATTTGTGTCATGATACAGAACTACTAAGCAACCCATGGAATCATGATTGGGTCAAATAGGGAAACAGACACCATGAAAAGAAACACTGCAAATCCTAGGACTGGTTCCACAGTATGCATTTCTTATGATTTATATATAATAAGACATTAAGTATTTATGATATTTGAATAGTACACACCGGTAATGTGTTTAAGTATCTCCCAAACACGTTCTGCAGTGATTGTGATCTTCTTCTCTTGTGTATCTTCATTAGCATGTTTCCATTCTGCAGTGAGATCCAATCCCTGTCGCCGAATGGAAGGCTGATAGTGACCGCAGCCTCCATGTCCTGAGCCTCTTTTACCTTCTTCCCCTTCCTTTCCTATATCCATATCTTCACCACCTTCACATATGTTTTTGCCTTTACATAAATCATAAACATACGTTAATCTCTTGCGTGGCTGCCCCTTTGACTTCATTACAACTTCTTTAATCTTTGGGTTAGTCTACAAACAGAAATGTTATTACAAAAGAAATCCAGAATTAACAACAGATTTCAAATACAACTAAATTAACTTACAGGGCTGACGAGTAGTTTCGAACAATAAAAACACACACATCTCAATACTTTAATCGTTTTTGTAATAAAGCCTATGTGGAAAACTGGTTTAGCTAAATCAATGTGTCCGAAGTGCCCTGGGCACTCTGTCATATTTCCAGCACAGGTCTGACATCTAGAACTTCTATCTATCACCCCTTGTCGAGGGTCCATAAGGCCACCCAGTTTCGGCCTTCCTCCTTCCATGGTTTCGGGAAAGCGAATGCCCCCCTCGGTAACAGACATACGTCGCTGAAAAATCGAACCATCATTTTAAAAAAATTGAATGTCAACGACTCAAACAAATAGGCAAACTTCTAAAAGAATATTGTTTAGGATTCAATTAAATCTAATAATATTGTGCAAGCCAAACAAACAACTGCGCGACTCCTCAAATCACATGATAGTAAACTTTTTCCTGTAAAATATTATTTAAAATTTGTACACATTGTCAGACACTCAATAAACATAAACTTACGATTTCATCTGGTGATAATATACCAAATTGTACTCTTTTAACTTGACGCAAAGGCGCCTTCGAATCATTCGTCGTGGCCATTTTGGCATCACACTGACTCACTATCTGAATCTGACTGACATAAAGAAACCTCCATGTACATGAAAGAGAATGAATGTCATAGACAGGGTTGCCAGATGTTCAAACCGGTGTTCCCGTATTATCATTGTTAAATTCCGTATGAAATCCGTATGGGAAGTATCCACGAAGTTTCTAGTCAATTCCATAACAAATATACCTTTGATTGATATAATTAAGAGCGCTTTTATCAATTTGTATATCAATTTGTCAGGAAAAGAAAAACCAAACGGGAAAAATATTTTTTTTTGTATAAACATCTTAAGTATTTTTTTTTCTAATATTTTTGGAATTAATTTTCAGGCTTACTTAATAATACAAAATTACCACAATAATATCGAAGTCATAGAGAAGCTGAAACAATTATTTAATTCATAGCAAAACAAAATATGTTGTTTTGTTTGCATTTAAAGAAAACTACACTATTAACTTTCTCTTTCTCTCATTGTCAAAAACCATCAACCAAAATATGTTTAGGGAATTCCCCAAACATACTCTGTACCTACCAACTATATTCTGTACTATACTAGTGCTGCCTCGGTTTTGCTAATCACAAAAAATGCATTTTGTTGGTATATACTAGGTTCAAATAAATATACCTATAACTTTCCACTTTAATTAAAATAATTTTCTTAGTAATATTAAGAGAGACTACACTTTGCATTTTCCTGACAATTAAGAGACTACTCTTTGCAATGCCTGATAATTGACATAAATATCCGTATGGTATTATCCGGTTTGAATATTAAAATTCCGTATGGATACGGATAAAATCAGTATATCTGGCAACATTGGACATAGAGAAATAGAAAGTAGGCATAAGGACAATGTATCCATTGCCAATAAATTAAAAAAAAATAGAAAATATTGCCAATGAATAAAAAAAAAGAAATTTAAAAATGAAGAAAACATATCAGTGTTGCCAACTTGACAATGTGGATGGTACAAGGATGCTCGTACAGTTTGTCTATAAAGTCGTGACATTAAATGATGGCGCCACTAGTATGCATGTAGCAACCCTGTACAGGCGGACCAAAATGATTTTGATACTAGCAGTTCATTCAAGTAAAATAGGTAATTAATAAGACACACTATACAGTCGTATTTTGTTTCTGTTTTATGTATAGTAGGTACCTATGCTTCTAAAAAGTTAAGCCAAGCATATTTAATTGAATCAGAATAAAATTATTATAGATAAAATAGTACTTTATAGTGTAAAAGTGTGTAATTTTTGGTGATTACCGCTGAGGTGCCATTGTGTTCGTGAATATTAACCAGCGCTATTCTTGCCCCGAACTTCTTTATTTTATTAAGAAAACGCTTGTAAGTTCAGGGATAAATATATATTAGAGCGTACAAAAAATATAAAAACACAAACTTATAAAAACTTACTTCAGTGGAAAAAACATGACACACAATAATTTTTTGTCTATCTATCTAACATGTCAAACTAAATTCAAATTAAAAAATGCTGCCTGCATCTTCAAAAAAAGATTCCACGACATACTCCCGCCGTTGCTGATTAAAATCTGCAATAGCCTTAACAAATCACATTATACATATCTACAAATCTAACCTAAATGGAGCCCTAATGGGACGACCAGTACGTGAGACCCTCGAAGTCTCAGTTTGACTCTGAGGCACGGTACAAGGTTCACCACCAGTACCGGGCTGTGTAGACTCTTGCTCGTATGACGCCGAGACCACAATCGGGTAAAGTCTTTGCAGTGGCCTAACTAGTACCCCATTAGCTGTCTTTACCCTAGCGATGCGGCATAGCCCGTCACTACCCTCATAAATTTCTAAAACTCTCTCCAAAGGCCAGTTCACTCTTTTTGAACCATCCGACCCAATCAAGACAATATCCCCAATGTTTTAAATCCTGCAAGTGTCGTTACTCTTCGTTTTGACTAACGCTGAAAGGTACTCATTTCGGAAACGAACTCTCAAGTCTTTTGCAAACTTCTGGATATACTGCCAACGAACCTTTCGAGTCTAAAAGATTTAAACTACTCTAGTTGCCTTTACTGTTATTTATAAACATGGAACGAGTGAGTGGTTTTAAGTTTTCGGCACTATCCGAAATATATGTGATGGGACCAGCGTTGATGACTGCCTCTACTTCACATAACGCCGTGTACAACTCTACCTGAGTCAAACTTGCCTTGCCTAACATGCGACGTATGAGATTCTTAACTAGGCCCACCATACGCTCCCAAAACACTACCCAACATGGCGCTTGCGGAGGTATGAAACGCCATTCCAATTTGTTTATACTAGTCTTAGATGCTACCTCCTCCCAATTGATCATATCTAATAAATTCTTAGCGCCATGAAAGTTCGTCCCATTGTCACTATAGATTACCCTAATGTTTCCTCTTCTGGCGATAAACCTTTTCTAAAATATATAAGCAATTTTGGAATGAATTCTATTAAACTGCAACCCTTTTCTACACAGTCATTCAAACTCACGCCACCTTTATCAGACGCAGACGCGTCAAAAACTGGCCTAATCTTTGTCGTTGCGCTCGAATTCTTAACTACTGCATGGTGTGGCATATAGTGACCTCTGTCTTTATTGTCATTAATAACCTCCTCTATAATGCCACTATTTAACCACTCTTGAAAAACGTCACTATAGTCTGATAGTATACCTAACTTACTCAATTTTTTCGTGGTATACTTAACACGTTTTTCCGCCATATTAAAATTCGTGGAAAGAATACCGAATGAATCTTTCCATGGCAGCATAACTTCATATCTCCGTTTATCGTTAACCTTGATCGTTTGTTCAAAAAAACGTACTACATCGGCCTTTATCTTACTCTGTGCCTTAACTTCACTATCATCAGTGATCCCTAACGTTTCTAATTTCCATAGGTCGTCGACGTCATACGAGCAAGAAAATGCAATTACCGGTACTCCACTAGCGCAATATACGCCCACTGCAGGGCCCTGAATCGTCCTTCCTAGCTTAGTCTCCATTGCTAGCAGATTTCTGTCAACTCGTACTGATCGTCCAGTTAGAATCGACCCTAGAACATCGGAACCTATTAATATGCTGACCTCACTTTGATCACTCTCACAATCAGTTATGTGAATACCTTTTTGCTGTAACTTATATACTAATTCACCCTGCCTTAGCTTTGGTAAGTAACCACATATTACATCTTGCTCTAGCATCTCCATTTTCATTTCATAGCTCCGATTAATATCTGATACATGCACTTCATATACCTTATGTATTTGCTTCTTAGTAACCACTCCACCAAACAGTGTTTGACTCATCTCCTGCTTCCCTATTTCCTCTAGGTTCATATTCTCCGCTATACTCTTCTTTATGAACGATCTTTGAGCGCCCGAGTCTAACAAAGCTCGTACACTCACTGTTTTATCTTCGTGCATTACATTCACCATCAACGTTTGTAGAAGTACTGTGCTTACTTTAGCTGCTGCAAACTGATTTAACATAGCTTGTTTGTTATTTACGTTGTGCGTCGTTTCATCTTTTTTGCCACCAGCATTGTTTAATGTTTCACACATTATGGGTGTCTCCTTCGGCAAGCAACGCACTTCACATGTTTTCTACATTTGCTCGCCATGTGACCAACCCTCAGACAAATATAGCATGCGTTCTTCCGCTTCAAGAAATTTCTGCGTTCATCTAACGACATCGATACCATAGACGAACATTCCGAGCTCCAATGCGACTGCTTATCGCACCATATGCAAGTCTGCGTTCTCTCTACGCGGTGGTCCATGTCAGTTTGACTTTTTATATCATTAGGTTTATTTTTCTTGCTAGCGGCTGTAAAGCATGATGTTGATGGACCTGCATACTCTTTGGTGAAACTGTTTTTCGCTACATTAATCCTTTCCTCCGCTTCTACTTCCGTCTTTATGAAATTCAGTAGTTTTGACAACTGAGTACCCTTCTCCGTCTGCATATGTGATCTGCTCCATGCCCGTAATATGTCGGCTGGCAACGCAGATTCCACCAATGTATATAATGCTGCATATTTATCCTGGGTAAATCCAAGTGATTCCAACGCTAAGATTTGAGTCATGACTCTATCATATAGAGGCCTTATGGCAGTGCTAGTCTTACCTTTAGCTTGTGCAAGAGTGAGCTGAAGTAACTCCCGTACGGTAGTGCTCAAATAATTGACAATGGACGAACTTTCATGGCGCTAAGAATTTATTAGATATGATCAAAGCAAAGATTTGCGCGTGACGTTATGATAACATAACGTCACGCGCAAATCTTTGCTTTAACTGCTCTAGCACTTTTGGATAATTTTCTGCTGACGGAGGAAAACTTTCAACTAGCTCCCGAGCACTAGATCCAATCTCCATACTCTGAATTAGATATTGAAATTTGTCCTCTAAATCAATCTTGTCGTCTGAATCAATCTTTTTAAACTGCGTCCAAAAAGTAATCCATTTGCTAATTTCGCCGTAAAATTTAGGCAGTTCCAACTTTGGTAAACGTAAATGACGAGACATACCATCTTCAGTGATGCTCTCATTCGTGACATTCTGTTCTTTTAGAATCACATCTGCTCCTATTGTCATGCATCATTTCTGTGACCTCTTTTACTCTTTGTTCAAGATAATACCACCTCGTCTCATATTCACCAGCGCTATCACTCTCGTTCTCTATAAGCTTTTCATCACGGATCTCCGAGTCTAATAATAAATTGAGGATCTGGTTTTGAATGTCTGCCAACTGGTTGTATTCTTTACTCAACTTACTGAAATCCGCTAGAATACGAGTAGACGTCTCCTTATTGTCCAAATATTCCTCCAGCTTGTTGGACGTTATTGTGAACCGTCTCCTCGCTAACGTACGCTCCAATCGTATTCTATCCATCGTATTAAGATTCTTTTCTCACTGTCGCCAAATGTTCGTGAATATTAACCAGCGCTATGCCTTGCCCCGAACTTCTTTATTTTATTAAGAAAACGCTTGTAAGTTCAGGAATAAATATATATTAGAGCGTACAAAAAATATAAAAACACAAACTTATAAAAACTTACTTCAGTGGAAAAAACATGACACACAATAATTTTTTGTCTATCTATCTAACATGTCAAACTAAATTCAAATTAAATTATGCTGCCTGCATCTTCAAAAAAAGGTTCCACGACACATTGAGACCAGAGCCGTTAAAGTAGAACTTTTTATTAGCTGCAGTAAAATGACGTTTTGTGGGTTACCGCTTTTTGAAGAAAAATAAATAGGGATGTAGCTAAGTGAGTAAGTGAATCATTCAATAAATGAATGATCAGTTTGGTTTTGTTTAAGAGATTTAATATTAAGTTGTAATGAGTTTTCATTCTATTATATTTACTATAGTAAAGGATTGTTTTTTTTATTGGAAGTATAGGGACGTACATCCAAAATTAAACAATAAATAAAAAGTCATAACAATGTTATTTATTAATCAATCATTTACGGAATCACTATCGCTGTCGCTTTCGATCACACTAATGACAAATCTGTCTGTCACTTCATCTATAATATGATTGAGGTGGCACATTTTGTCTTCCTCTTTTACAGTGTGAGATACACAGTCACTCCACTTAACCGGTGTCACTGTTGATTCCTTCTTGGAATAAAGTTTTCACTTCTTGCATTTTATATGTTTTATTATTGTTTGCGACGTGCCCCTTTACCTGAGCCCAAACCAACTCAATGGGGTTCAATTCACAGTGATAAGGGGGCGGTCTTAAAAGTCTGATACCTTTTTGTGCAGCAATCTCGTCCACGGCATATTTTTCAGTATGATTTTGTTGTATCACAATATCTATGAGAGTGGCCTTCACCATATTTGGTTCAAATGTATTTTTTTTAGTGGTCAGCCACATCTAATTGGTTAAAATTCCACATGGGGTGGGAGAAAACATATTATACCTAACGTATAATAAAAAGATTAGTGATGACAGGTAAATTAACCTTTGCGATGGTGGGTACTTCATTTCTATGAAAGAACTGATGTACAATTGGTCTAATAGCGGTGAATGTGAAATCATCAAGTTTTTCTTTAAATGTAAGTTTTCGGCCAAGTTTTTCGGGAGGCTTTGGTGATTCCCAGTCGTTCTCCTTGTGCTCCTTTAAAACGGAATAAACAGTGCGGACGGATATTCCAAGATTTCAGCCACGTTGTTGACGCATTCATTTGATTTTAGAACTTCAATGTTTGATTCTGTAGATTTCACTTCTAACACATATTTGTAAACGTTTCTGATCCAAAGTTTCTCAGTTGCACTTAGAGCTACATGTGGCCTTTTTTCTTAGGATATAAAAATGTATTTGTTTCTTAGGTTTTCACGCACATCACTCATTAAATAAAACTAGTTTTTACGGGTTAATGCACGAAACTTTATTTATTTATTGACGTTTCGCAGCCTTTTCAGGTCTGCATCGTCAGAATAATGATTTTTTATTTAAAATTGTCGAGCTACCTTCGAAAGACTTATATTGAGCGTTCGGTTATTTCATTAGAAGATTTTTAAAATTTTGTTGTCTATGTGTGAATTTATTATTTAATTTACTTAATAAAGTACTTTATTTAAAATTCTTGTTTGTAATTTTGAGTTTATTTATTTGACCCTAACTACCGTAAACTACCACCGGTTCCAAAATTGGGAGACCTTCCTGAGAAGAACCGGCGAAACAAACTCAAGAGAGGCTTTCTATCTCCTTCTTATGTTAAATTATGCAAACAAAAAGAACTAATAGTATCTGATGGTCTTGCAGTGTGTGCTCGGGGTTGGGATTTTATCTCCTGTATAATAGGTTCCCAAGCTGGTGGTATATACCAACCATCTTCCCTATTGAAATTTGGATATTTTTTAATCTCAATAGCCTCACGCATCATTCGAGGAACGAACCGCCGCTCAGCTGCAAGGATCTGTGGTCTATCAAATCTAATGTAGTGGTTTGGTCCCCCTAATGCATGTTCACACACTGCAGATTTATTTTCGCGCCCTATACTCCTCTTTGTTTGCCCGATGTAGCAGAGCCCACAGTCGCATTCAAGTTTGTAGACCAAAACTGACCATGATTTCATTGTCCATGAGACGTTGATCTCTAATCTCATTGACAAATTGGTATGAATCTTTCACAAAGGCTGTTGTCACACCCAGGCTATATAAGCGGTACGTAGATGATACTTTCACAATCCTCCCAACAGATCAAATTTCTGCCTTTTTAAATCACCTTAACTCTATACACCCCAACATCCTATTCACTATGGAGTTAGAGGCAGACAGTAAACTAGCTTTTCTAGATATTTTATTAATCAGGAATCCTGACCAAAGTTTAAGCCATACTGTGTATCGTAAAGTGACTCATACTGATAGGTACCTCAATGGTGACTCACACCATCACCCGAAACAATTAACTGCCGTAGGAAACTCTTTGTTTCAGAGAGCACGGGGTGTCTGTGACGAACAACACCTGGCAGCTGAACTTCAGCATGTCGAGCAAGTACTGAAGGATAATAACCTGAATGTACCACGCCGCCGTCACAGTCGCGTCAAACCTAGCACAGTCGACCGACAACCTGCTATACTACCTTACATGAAAGGAGTCACTGACAAGATTGGGAGGATTCTGAAGCGTGCTTCAATCAATACATACTTCAAGCCGCCAAAGAAGATCAACCAGTTTCTACGACCGGTCAAGTGCAATATACCCTTTCAAGTTGCTGGTGTCTACAAACTTGAATGCGACTGTGGGCTCTGCTACATCGGGCAAACAAAGAGGAGTATAGGGACTCGGGTAAAAGAACATATCGCAGATATGAAACATAGGCGCGAAAATAAATCTGCAGTGTGTGAACATGCATTAGGGGGACCAAACCACTACATTAGATTTGATAGACCACAGATCCTTGCAGCTGAGCGGCGGTTCGTTCCTCGAATGATGCGTGAGGCTATTGAGATTAAAAAATATCCAAATTTCAATAGGGAAGATGGTTGGTATATACCACCAGCTTGGGAACCTATTATACAAGAGATAAAATCCCAACCCCGAGCACACACTGCAAGACCATCAGATACTATTAGTTCTTTTTGTTTGCATAATTTAACATAAGAAGGAGATAGAAAGCCTCTCTTGAGTTTGTTTCGCCGGTTCTTCTCAGGAAGGTCTCCCAATTTTGGAACCGGTGGTAGTTTACGGTAGTTAGGGTCAAATAAATAAACTCAAAATTACAAACAAGAATTTTAAATAAAATACTTTATTAAGTAAATTAAATAATAAATTCACACAAAGACAATAAAATTTTAAAAATCTTCCAATGAAATAACCGAACGCTCAATATAAGTCTTTCGAAGGTAGCTCGACAATTTTAAATAAAAAATCATTATTCTGACGATGCAGACCTGAAAAGGCTGCGAAACGTCAATAAATAAATAAAGTTTCGTGCATTAACCCGTAAAAACTAGATAAAAATGTATCTCCATCTTATGATGTGCTCAACTGAGCATCCATGTCTTCGATGTAACAAAGAAATAAAAGCTGACACGATTAACAAAAGTAAGTAGGTAACGGAAAACAAATACAACGTAACAAAAATTTAACTAAAAACCAGTACCAACTTGAGATTTTATACAGCCTTTTATTTATATGAATAATAAATAGAATTAAGTATGATCATTATGAGTTATGGAACGATTAGATTTTCTGTGAACCTAATCACATCCCTATTGAAATTAGGCTGTCAACATTATTTTACGGAATGACATTATGAAACGTCATTTTACTGCAGCTAATAAAAAGTCGAAGTATAGGTAATCATCAATACACACAAGTATCATCATACGACGTTATTTAACACACTTGTTAAGAAAATAATACTAAAAATCATTTTATAATAATAATATACAACAACAACACATTCTTTCCAAATTCTCTTATTTATTATAATATTTTATTTCGAATTAAAAATACGTCTTACAATATTTATTATACCACAGTTATTTCAATTCAATATCTAATCTATTACAAAACCAAAAATGAAATAGAAATAAAAAAGGGAAATTTTTCACACACATGATTATTCCGATGACATGTGAAAATGTCAAAACAAATTCAATGAAACACAACAACAGAGAATGGAAACGAATCTACAATGTTGACGAGGAGCAAAACAGCATGTTTGAGACCACCGGACTCGTCACGTCGCTCCGCCTCGCAGT